TAACCCTTCCTCCGCCTTGCTACAGCTACAGAGGACAATTAAACAATTTACGGATGTCCAAAGGTTATACATATCGCTAATCGTGATACCGTGTTAATCCTAATACAAAAGGATAACACTTACATGATTATATTGTTCCTATTTACTTTATTTTGTGATATATTCACATAAACGATGAGTTAGACTAAGTACTGTTTGTAATAGTCAAAAAGAAGGAAAAAGTATCATTTTCATAGCAAAACATTCAGGTCTTGGTAGAAGACTATTATATTCTTTTCCTATTTACTTTATTTTGTGATACATTCACATAAACGATGAGTTAGACTAAGTATTGTTTGTAATAGTCAAAAAGAAGGATAAACTATCATTTTCATAGCAAAACATTCGGGTCTTAGTAGAAGACTACATTTCATACTAGTAGGAAATATGAGATTTTCTAGCGTTTTCATACTTATATCAACTGTTCCATTTCAAGATTTACATGACATTCATAACAGCATTCCAAAAGAAGACAATAACACTTAAATACTTATGAATTCACCAGCTTTAGGTTGATACTCTCTTTCAAAATAACTTGTATTCTCAGGTCATCAGTTAGACAGGTACGATGGCCAGGTTTTGAGAAGACGGAGCACAGACAAGACTTATCTTATTTTGATTATTCATTTTATTGTTGTACATTATGAAAGAGCACACATGTATTAAAACTTTACTTTTAATGCAATGGATGATGTTGTTGCTTGTATACTACTTTACACTGTTATGATATTTCACATGACGTCCTCCACCCCAGAACGTTTCCGCCGTTCTTGGTTTTGGGGTGTGACATAACAAGCTTTTCTAATGAAGATGATGTCCCATGGTTCGTTCATGGAAATCATACTTCTATTCCTTCACCTCCTCCAATTATTCTCCCTAACCCAAAAGTTCTTGAATAGTTCAAGGTCACTCAAGCCATATTGGCAAGCAAGGTCTATGTGTTCTCACATCTTGGATATGAAGTCACTTATTGACAAGCCGGGAGAGTTGGGTGTCAAAGTATTGAGAAAGTTGGTTGTTCAATCACTTTCTAGGTCACATATTGACTTTCCTTTGGGACTACTATGAAACAGACTATGACATGACCCTTAATGATCTTATCTATTTGCTTGGTACTGCTGAATCAACACTGATTTGGAGGACTGGTAAAGAAAATTTGATTAGAATATCAACTTCCCAAACCTCCATGGACATTGAAAATGGTAACATTGGATATCCAGAAAAGCCTTCTCTTCCCAATGGAAAGGGATCGACCATAGTCAACTCGGTTGACCAAATGGTAAATAGAAAGGCTAAGTCTGAGATAGTCCCATGTACCATTACCAAAGAGTCCATATGGTTCTATTGCCAAAGGAAGAGGCATTGGTTGTGAAGTTGTCCTATTTACCTAAAAGATCATAAGGTTGGTCAAGTCAAAAGTTTGATTCGACTTCTGGTAAGTCCACTATCTAACTTTATTAAGTTCCTATTTGGAGATTATTATTACATGATGTGACTGGGTCACATGTTGAAGTTTTAAGAATCAAAGAAAATAGAGGAAGCTTAAAGAAGAGTAAGCTGATTCTGATCACGAAGATGGATTTCGATCGCATGGTTCGGTGCTCAGAATTTTTGAGCTGCTACTTAAGAGTTGTGATAGATTGCTTAGAAATAGATAACAACATAGTTTTCATATGCATTTGCATTGTAAGGATAAGTTTTTCCGCAAGTTTTAAATAAAAGAAAAGTTTTATTTTTATTTATTTTATTATCCTTACAGTGGCATTTGTGAAAAAGTTGTTGTTTATATGATTCCATTGATAGCAACATTAGAAAATGGATTTGATTCTTTCGTTTGTGGTAGTGTCATAATTTACCAAATAAGGAAAGATTCTCATCAACCAAGTTTTAGTTGGATAGAAACTTGTAATTATGCAAGTTGTATCGTATGGTGAATGATAATTTTCATCTATGGAAAATTAAGACAAGTTCCTTGTTCACATGTATATGTGAGTCAAGTGAAGGACTAAGGGTTCGAGTACACATTCTTGTTCACTGGTCAAGTCCACCACAAAAGATCGATAAGACTATTCATCATGATTTACTAAAGTTTAGTAAATATGGTTATACTTACAAGGTTAAGTATAATTCTGAAACATTGGAAAAGTTTCGATGTATGACAGAACGAATGAGAAGAATTAAATTTGGCAGAAAGATAAAAGTTTCTCAAATATGAAAAGATGGGAGAGTACTTTAGTATCATGTTTTATGATCATCTTAATGATTGTGAGACCATATTACAATTCATCCTCTAGGGACATCTTAGTGCATTCTTATGGCTAAGAAGAGGAGTCATGAATTATTGAAATGGTTAAATCAAGAAGGTGATACATACTTCGTTCCAAAACAAGTCTTAGAGTCATACTCCAAGATTGTAATTTGAGTGACACATCTTAAAGAAGGTTTATTAACACTTATCAAATGTAAGAGTAAAATGTGTCCTACTCTTGTACATTTGAAATTGGTAAGTTTTGATGTTTTGGATAAAACAGAGACCAACTTAGGCCAATTGTGTGAAGTGTTTGTCTTGAGAAGAATCTGCACTATCTCTTGAAGTTTTGTTTGTCAAGCAATCGGTCTTGGTAAGAGAGTCTTATATATCAAAAGGACAGTGGGAGTCTAAAAGATCTTGAAAGAGTCTAATCAAAAATAAAACCTGTAGTTTATCACTAGCACACGACTTGAGGTTTATAACCTATCGTGTTGACATATTCCTACTTTTGTGTCCATTCTAGTTAAAGTTGGCTTTGCATATGAGTTCTGAGAGTTCTCAATTGGTTGCATAACAACTTGGAAGCAATGGCAGGCCCTTTTGCTTCCAGGTGGCAAGAAGTTAAGGCTGCACAAGTTCAGTCCATATGAGTTTGGATTTGTCACTAACCTTGTCTTGTGATTATGGTTTTGACAAATTCACATGGATAGGAACACATACACCATAAAATCTAAGTGTCATAAGGTTTCTCTCCGATTCATGAAAATGATGGTGAGGAAACTCTTTCACAAAGTGGTTTTAAGTAGATAACAATTGTGATAGTTGCATTCTCAAAGTCGTTAGTGGAGCGTGTGTGGTTAACCAGCACACTAACATCGACTTGTGAGAAATGGAAAAGGTCTAAACAGTTGAGACTATGATTACGACATCCCTTTCAATAATTCTGAAATTGTTTAGACACACATGTGTGCTATATAAGGAAAGGTGTATGATTTTGATAAAGTTTTATCAAAGCATCTCGTATCCGAAATCTAAACTTTGGTAAGAAAGTCAATAAAGTATTGATTTCTAAAAGTCCAGCTGATTTCTGAGGACATGTCAAAGCTAGTGGGAGCATAAGTGTTATGCTAATAATTATCATGTTAGTGGGAGTATTATAATTATGATAAGTGTTGCAAGTTAGCAATGTTAATTATAGAAAAACAAAAGTTCAATTGGGAAAAGTTGTTTTACTATAATTAAGGGAGAGGAAATTATATTTTATTTCAAATCTAAAAGCTTAGATCGTGAGATTTCAATCAAATTTAGTCAAGTGTATATATATATATATATATATATATATATATATATATATATATATATATATATGAATGAATGATACACTACTAGAAAAGCAGCCTTTTACGACGCTCATTGCGCGTCGTAAAACGCTCAGACGACGCGCAAATGCGCGTCAAGGAAGGCCCTGTCATAAAGAGAGACGACGCGCTTTTGCGCGTCGTCTATAGACGACACACATTTACGACACGCATTTATGACGCGTATTTACGACGCGCGGTTATGACACGCAATGCGTATCAAGGAAGGCCCTGTCATAAAGGAAGAAGACACGCATTTACGTGTCGTAACCTTACGACGCGCGTGTTTATGACACGCAATGCGTATCAAGGAAGCCCCTGTCAAGAAAGGCCATGTCATAAATGAAGACGACACACATTTTTGCGTATCGTAATTTTAATTTTTTCGTAAAAAAAATTGGTTATATATTTACTGATTTTCAAACTAAATTTGCATTTCATGTATCATAATAAAAAATAAAATACCATATACAAAAAATACAATACATTGCACAAAAGTTAATGTCATACAAATAATCATTCTAATACTAGACAAATGTAATACATCAACTAATCATTCCAATAGTAGACAAATGTAACATTTCAACATTTTTTATATAATTAACTAAATTATTAGCCAAATTTCCTAAAATACCAACATACTTTTCTATGAAGAGCATTAACACTATTCTTTTCCATCAAAAACTTCAAAACCTGCATAATTAAATTAATGTGTAATCAGCTATAGAAATTTGTGTGAGCATATGGCAATAGAAAGAGAACATGATAATCAGAAACGGAAATTTTTGGCATTGCAAACCATCAGAATAATTGGAAGTATATGTATACTTCACACGTTGGAGGCGTTGACTTTCTGTCATTTTATAGCAATTTGTCTACTTAATATATAAAGACTCCAATAATAAATAGATATGTTATGTTACCTTGATGCATCTCTGTTGTCCAAAAGTATCCTCAAGTAGGAGCTTTCTTCATATTTGGAAGCCTCTCTGTTCCCCAAATCAATCAATCTACACACAACACAAGTGAAGTGGAGAAAGAATTACATTAAAACTTAACAGTTTCAATCTCTTCAAAATTCAAAATTCAAGAAACTCTGAAGTGTATTGCACTCACTACAGAAGATCCAAACCTGCAATTTTAATATTTATCCGTTCACTTCTACTGTTTCAATGGCTTCAAGATTCAAAATTCAAGAAACTCGTAATATAATACCTTCTTTTGTCTGTAATCTTCAGGCATCACAGTAGCTTCAATCTGAGAATTACAAAACAAACCAATAGAAACGAAATATGATCAAGAACTTGTTGTTTAAAATTAAATTCACAGTCATATAATACCAGTTGATGTATTCAGAAGATTTGATGGCCGACTAGTTGAGAGCATCGTGCCTGTATCAGGGGCAATTGTGGAACATAACGTAAGAATCTTTGGTTGGTTAAACCCATCAAACCATGAACCCTAAAATCCATTCCAGTAAGCTTTCCATTTAGCTCTGGCAAGACCTTTCCCACAATCTAATTTTTTTTTATAAAATATAAAAAGATTTATAAAAAAGAATATAAAAATTTACAATTTCATTTTATATAAGAATAATATATACCTTGGCAGCAAATGACAAGAAACAAGATTTATAAATCTTTTTTTTATAAAAAGATTTATAAAAAAGACATAAAGGCCCTCCTAATCCTTATCATCAAATGCAATACAAATGACAAGAAACAAGAATAAGTCTACCTCGCATATTGTTACAACATCTATTTTCAAAGATTTCACAGAAGCATCAACTTCCAAAGCATGTTGTAAGTCCAAGTTTCTATCTTTTTCTACCAACACTTGGACCTAAAAAAACACCCATCAACAACTATAAATTATAATCAATCAAAAGACAACAGATAAGAGTTGACTAATTTATATTGTCAGTTGACTAACAAGACCATATGAGATTCTTGGTAGGCCAAAAGGGTCATTAGTTGAACTTGGTTGACATCCTGCTCCAAACAACCCAACTAGGCTATCTAACCTACCAAAATCAATTAAGAAAATAATAAAAATAAAAATAAAAAAAAACATTTTACCTATCTAAATCAACGGACCAGCCCTGATTGTATATAATATCCATGATGCCAACTCATGAATAAAAAAATAACAGCTTTTTAGTTCTAGGGGTAAAATAGGAAATTAAGTTTCTTCCTAGTTTTTGTGTTAGAGTCAAACTCATTATGTGTAGGCAAGTATGATTGTATGTAGAAAAACACTAATATAAACTTGCTGACCTGATACATCTTGCTTTGATGCAGCATCTACATCATCGGTTAATATTGAAGGCTTGTGCATTAATGAAGACAGAAGTTTCTTTGAAGGCATTTCAGGGTTTTCATAGGAAGAGAATGATGCAGAGTAAGATTGAGAAATAACTGAATGGTCAAGTGATTAGGTTCACGTTTGCACATAGTCCATTCACAAATTTCGCAACCTAAAAGAATTACATTACATCCATCCATCAGATGTCTAAATATAACATAAATAAACAAACATCACTTGCAGTTGTAGCTTTTATACCTCAGATGTTGGAATATTTGGAAAAGAGGCACCAAGAAGCTTAATAGTGTACTCTCTCTGTCTCTCACAAACATCCTGTTGTTTGGATACGGATATGAAACAGTTGACGTGTCCCACAAAGGCTCAGTTAATGACCTAGATTCCACCTACAATTATTTGCCACATCAACATATATTATACTCCTATATACTTGCATATGATTCAAATAAAAAGTCGACTAGAGATGATATACATAACAGGCAGAATAAATGTTGCAGCACCAACATATGCAGGTTAAATCCCAGTTTATGGAAACTGTCGGTCATCACATCAAATATTTCTTGCACAATCAGCACAAAATAAGCCCGATAAAATTGATTACAAAACTCCGAGTTCCTTGCAATCAAAATCAAATAAAAAATATGAAATAAAACAGATTAAAATAGCGAGGTTTTAATAATGAATTGTAGTAGTAGTAGTGGTACCTGAAAGTTTTTAAGCATCTCCAACTTGTGATAAAATATTCGCTTACTATTATAATAGAAACCTGCAATTAGATAACAACAAGTGTTATAATTGAGTAAACTCATTTACAAATTACTCATTTATGTATAACTAAGCTTCTGTAGAAAAATGACTATTAGAAGTAGAATAGAAAACCATGTGTTTCTTAATAAGGATGTCCCGTTCCTTCTCATATAACCCAGAGATACTTAATATTTAAAAAAAAATAGAAAATGTGCATAATAGTTTGATACAAGTATGGCTAACATCTTCATTCTATCTGTGAAAATATATCCGTATAATGGGTGATTCAAGCACTCAAAACAAAATTAAAAATTAAAAATGTGAAGTAGAAAAAATGAAACGAACCTGCTGGCCAGTGATGTAAACATTAGTTTCCTTAAACTAGGAGTGGGACCCACCAAGGTCTTCATTAGAGGTGGAATTGGCAGCTGAACCAGGGTTATAACTAGCAGGGGCTGCTGAAGAATATGGTCCATAGCTTCCTTTGTTTATTTAAGCAAGCTTTGAAGCATACCTGAAACGTGGTTGTTAAAGAAAAATGGCTCAAGTAGCGATACCGCCTCCTCATGGCTTCTGACTGTGTGACACTCTCCAATTGCAAAATCTTACCACTAATCCTGCAATTTTGTGAATTTAAGTTTCAAAAGGGAGAAAAAGAAACAAATGAAGAATTTGATTCATGAATATCTATGAAAACTCCAATACCTTCAACTTTTAGGCCCCCCTTTCATAAGTTCAACAACAATACCTTCAACTTTTAGGACAACCTCCGACTTAATATTTTCAATGGAACCAACAACAAAGTTTAACCACAACTATTTTTTTTCCAATTCAAAGCTTGGTCTAGTGAAAACTGGTCTTGTCCAGCACAAATGGTGGAAAGCAACACGAAAATTCCTCTGCAATGATGATAGGCTAGGGTTTTAGAAAGAAAGAAGAAAGGAAATGTTTAGAGAGAGAGAGAGATAGAGAGAGCGAAATTAAAAATAAGGTATGGATGATTGTGATCTTCAGAGATGACGTACACTTCTCTAAACCATATCAGGGTGAACCCATACCATCTAGAACTGCAAAAACAAAGAAAACGATCATCTTTTTCTTCAAGCCCATAATAAGGTTACTGTATTTTGAAAAGACCTTAAGAATAGTACCACAGCTCCGATGCATCCTCCCCTCGGCCTTAAAATCTCTTCTCTATCTTTCACCTCATGTTTTCTTTTCTTTCCCATTTTCTGTTCAGTCTTGCCGCGCACACACGCACCATCTGGGAAGTAGGACGACGTGAACGATGGTGGAAGTGATAGCCGGCGGTGCTGGTTTAGGGCTTTTTGAAAATATGAGATATTTTCTTCAGAGAGAGAAAGTGAAATCGATGAGAATGTAACCTTCGGTTACTGTATACCAAAAAAACCGATGTAAGCTTGAATGAAAGTAGAATCGATAAGAATGTAGAGAGCCCCAAATTGAAACCTTGTACAGTAGAATCGATTTGAGAGTGAATGTTGGATTTATTGCTTCCATTTCCCGGTTCGCCTACCCTTTAGTTACCCTAGTCGATGGATTCAAGCTTTCACGAAAAACCCTAGGTAGCAACTGATAGAGACAAAAAGGATGGGGCGAAGGTAGGATTAGAACCGATTTCAAAGAGTAACAGTATATTTCACTGAAAACCCTTTCCCGGTTTGCTTGACCATTGGTTACCTCAGTCGATCGATTCAAGCTTTCAATAAAAACCCTAGGTAGCGACCGAGAGAGACAAGAGGGAAAGGAAGGGCACGCAAACAGTTAGGGAAATCAAGAGTGCAATGCTCGTCCTTGTTAGGTTGAAGATGAAAGATAGATAGAAGATAGAAAAAAAAAGGCGGGTTTTCAAAATTTTGGGGATTTCATTTCCCCCCTTGTCTACTAAAAGCGCGTTTCATTAAAATTATAAAGCGACAGGTACAGACGACGTGCGTTTAAGATAAAGCGCCCTCCGTGTTTTTAATTTTTTTTTCTTGAGACACTAAATTAAGGGCACGCAATAAAGCGTGACGTAAATACTTAAATTTTTTGGATAGATAACACTATTTTGAGGGCACGTCCTTTTGCGTATCGTTAATTATCGCGTGTCGTAAAAAGTGCGTCATTAAAGGTCTTTTTTCTAGTAGTGATATGGGCATATTTAGTTATAAAATTCATGCATTATCTTAATACTTTATGTTGATTTTATCTCATTTAATGAGAAAAAGGTGCTTAATTAGTTTAGAATTTCATGTTTCAGCAATAATGACATGCTCGGAAGGAAAAGGAAGCGGAACTAGCGATTGGAGGCTTGGATATTGGATTTTGAAGAAAGAAGGATGTTGCTGGACAGCTTGACCCCTCTTCAGTGTTTTGACCATATCTCATGAACCGTAACTCCGATTGACGAGATTCAAAATGTTATGAAAACTAGACACAATTTCGGTCGACTTTCGTGTTTTGAGAAAATGCTGATTCAAAACGTACTCGGCGAGTAGGGTCGATTACTCGCCGAGTTGGTCAGAAGTTTCGCGATTCTGGACGCGCTGACTTGCCGTACACGGGTTTTAAGTGATGTACTCGCCGAGTAGGTCATTGGACTCGCCGAGTAGCCTCTGTTTTGTGAAAATCTATATAAAGGGACTTTCAGATCGATACCCTAGGATAGAGATGAACCCTTGGAGGCCAATTGTCGACTAAAGGTGTTGTTGGAGCGTGGGAAGCAAGGGAATCAACCCTACATTCAATTTTAAGGAGAATCAAGTCAAAATCAAGTTTACTCTTACCTAATATCTTGTTTGAACTATGTTTTTACCAATTGATTTTGTTTTTGTTCTTGTTTCTGCTGTAATCATGAGCTAAAAACTCATAACTTCTGTTTGGGTAGACAATTTTGTGAACATGGATTGATTATTTGAGTAGGATTAATTTTGATTGGTAATTATGTTTTGTTAAGCTTGTTAAAGAACCTTATGTGTTGACAATAACTATTCTTCTATTAATAAATCAGTAATTAAGTTGTATGAACATCTCTTAGTTATTAATTTCATATGATTTATTGTGACCACATAGTTGTATGTCTAGGAATAACGAATGTGAAACTAGAATTAACAAGAAGATAGGTAAGTTAATGTGTGAGATTGTTTGATGAACATCGGTAAGAGGTTAATTTAAGGGCCAATTTAATTAACCATTACAAGTCTTCTTTAACCCGAATCAATAACTAGGAAATTCGTTAATTTAGACAACTGGCCACTGCTTGAGTTAATTTGTTTCCTAAGGATTAGTAATAGCAAACGTGAAACTAATCATCTTAGTCGGTAGCCAATGAAGAATTAATCCGATACATTGAAATCATCCATGGGAACAAATTAGTCGAACCTAAACAGAAGTCCTCTTTATTATTGAATGTAGTTGATTTTTATTTGCTTAGCTCTTAGTTTCTTAGTTTAAGTTTTAGTTAATTGTTTAAGTTTCTAGTCTCGCAAAACTAGAGAAAACCCCCTTTCTATTACTTGTTTTATTTAGATAATATTAGCATCTATTTTAATTGTTTACCGTTCCCTGTGTTCAATACCCTACTTACCTGAACTAAACTGCTAATCGATAGGTACACTGCCTTTCGTGTGTTTGTCTTTGTGTTTAAGTTAGTAGGATTAAAACTAGTTGGTTTTACACACATCAATGAATGTCATGTTGGAATGGTTCAACATAAAGAAATTCTATATACAGGAACATTATTTGCATTCTAAAATTCGATTATGATTCCGACATCCCTTTTCATAATCTGAATTATGAGAACATGGAAAATAGAAATATTGTAGCAAAAAGACTGGTCTAGTATCATGTCTTTATGTGAGACATCATGAATCATATCCCATATGCTTCAGATATAATATTCATCCTTTCTAAATTTTCCAAATGCTCATGGCATTAAGAGGGGAAAACTCTAGAATTGGATATAACTAAAATGATTAAGCACTTGTCGGGGACAATCTAGGGTTTACCAAAGTTTGGTTGCTCATGGACAGTTGAAAGTATATTGTTAAGGACCATATTGACATATTCTGAAAAAGAGGCAACTCTTGTTGAGAAGTGATCGTCAAAATGGGAATATGGAAATGTCTCCATGGGTGGAAACTATTCAATTTGTGTAAGATTAGAAAACTTAATGCGAGAAGGATGTTCAAAGCAATGTACTTTGAATATGACAATTCGTTTTCATGGATTTGATCTCCATTGGAATACTTTGTAATGTCTGTTGACAAGTCTTTGTGACTTTGTGCATAATCATTACAGAGGATCAGTGCATATAAGTTTAAAATCTAACAGATTTCGGTAAATGGCAGGAATTTGGAATTTTTGCATTTGTGGTACGGATTTGGTATTGTGAAATGAGAATCATTGGAATTATGTTCAATCAATCTATTCCACAAAGTAAAGATCATAGATAAACATAGTATGCATACTTGGTGTATGGCATGACTATTGTTTAGAAAACATAGTGTACATGCTTGGAGCATGGGACAACTATTATTTTAATTCAAGTATAAACTTGATAATTTGAAACAGTATACAATGAGTGATGTGTAATCAATATGGTGATAAATAAAAGTTGTTCTATTTATATTCATAAGTTCTGAGACCATATTGGATTCGATTATTATTGTGTTTCACTTTGCTTGTTTTAACTTCCAGAATAACTAGGTCATTCTTCCTGAATGACTAAGTTATTCAAACCATCCACAGTCGATAATACGTTGGAAGTAGGTATTAAGGAAAGACTCTCATGAAGCTGGTTTGTAGATGTCCAAGTTATTGGACATAGCAAGAGTTGCTACAACATTCATGAGTACCCATAAGTTCTGAGTATTGGATTAAGCTCACGCTCATTTGACTCACTTCATGGATTTTATCACGAGTGATTATGAGTCGATAACATCTTATATTCTTCAAACCTAGAGATATGATTTGTTGCTTATGAGTTGGTTATACATTGATTGTACGAAAACACATTGGTAACTCGATGTTATAAAATGTGCCTTTGTGTATGATTCAACAAGTAGCAGAACAAGCATATGAGTCGAAGTTTATCCATTCCTTTTACCCCTAATGGGATAAAAGCGATATCCGTGGGCCCCTCGATGATTTAGTGATGACACCCCTAAGTGCTTGGCCAAGCCCGGACTGATTTGATTTGTTCAATTAGTCAGTCATCATAAATCGCAAATCGGAAAACAACAAATGGACAGAGAGAATAATTATAATCCATGTCTCAGTCCATATGATATCTAGAATGGAGGAATGTATGATCCCTTATCTAATGGACGAGTCATTGATTTGTTCGGAGTTCGACAGCGGTTTTAAGAGCTATGATTGCTAGTCGTGTTTTGGAGTAATACACAATAATAGATTTAGACTTATCCAAGTGGGAGACTGTTGGATTAGTGTCTAAGCGCATAACTATAATTGGTATGTACTTGACCCGATTGGCATGGTCCATTTGGGTTGCATGGCATTGGAACAATTTGGATAGACTTTTGTGAGAAAAGGATATTAATGATTTGTTAATATATTATAAGTTCTAATATATTAATATGAAATCATAGTATTTAATTAGTGTTGATCAATAATTAATTTGGAATTAATTTTGTGATCAAAAGGAGACTAATTAAATATATAAGGATTGATTGTGTAAATCATTTATTCTTATATATGTAGGCTTATGATCCATAGTTCTTCATGTTGGGCTAAACCCATGGAGTAACCCATGGATACTCCATGGAGGTTTTAACCCATGGAGCATGGAGAATATGGAAAGACATGAGTTACATGGTGTAACCCTAATAACCACGATATATAAGGACCCCATGGCTCAAGAAATCGGGACTAAGGTGTGTACACATGAGGGCTAGCTGATTTGAGCATAAGAACTTTTCTCTCAAGTTATTCCAAGTTGTTGGTGGTGTTGTGTGAACCATTTGAGGTGTCACACTTGAGGCACTAGGCTCTTAAGCTCCATGGAATCAAGCTACAACATCAAAAGGTATGTCATTCTACTAGATTCTTGTAGTATAGTTACCTCTTATTATGCTAGTTAGGATGAAACCTTGGAATATCAAATATTTTCATGTATAATAGAGAAAACATAGATCCAAGGTATATAGGGTTAAATGTACACCATAGGAGTGTTAGAATGCTCAAGACCCTTCACTTTATACCTCTCAACCATGAAAGGTTTCAACCATCTTGAGTTCCAGAAATTCAATGAACTTACACTACAACTTCCTCCGACCCATTGCACTGAAACCATCAAAATCGATCTGGCTACTGATCCTTCAAGCAAAACACTCGGTCCTCCTCCACTTAGGGCTTACTCCCTCATTGGTCGATGTCATCCACGTTGAAGCCTAAAACCGGTCCATCCAAATACCATCTAAACACGACTCTCGATATGCAAAATGGCATATGACTACTCTTTGAAATATATTAACTACACAATCATAAAGAAACTACGA